TCGTCACCATCATCATCATATCCATCGTCATCGTTATCACCATCATCAACTTCATCTCCATATTCACCCTCATCTGCATGTTCATCTTCATCATCGCCATACTTTCCATCTTCATCATCTTACTTTTCACCTCCATCTCCGTCTTCATCGTTATCTTCATATTCCTTTGTATCTGCATATTCACATTCATATTCATCTTCGTCAGCAGCATCATTACCATCATCATCATCACCATCGTCGTCGTCGTCATCATCATCATCACAATCATCTACATCATCGCCAACGACTACGTCACCATCTTCATCATCACCACCAACATCATCAGCATCATCACCCGAATCGAATCATCATTTTCATTATCATCATCAACATCTTCATCTCCATCATCATCAGCATCATCATCATCAACATCATCATCATCATAGTCATCAACATCATCATCATCATCATCGCCAGCAGCATCATCATTAGCATCAGCATCATCGTCGTCATCGTCACTTTCGTCGCCATCATCATTATATTGTGACCATCACTCGCGCGCTCACCACTTACGATCACTCACTCATTCACACCATCATCATCATCATCATCATCATCATCATCATCAGCACCAGCATCATCATCACCATCACCATCATCACCACCACTCACAACATCATCCTAATCACTTGCCTGTGTGTGTCGACTATCGCCACTTTTGCGATCATCAAGCCTGAATCTAGAGGAAGTCTTCAGCTGGAGCCTCGTCTGTGAGAGGAAGTTTCCGGCGGGACCCCCTCCCTATGGGGCCCGCGGGTAGTGCTGCAAACCCGAACTTGGAGGAAGTCTCGAGAGCCTCGTCCGTGAGTGAATTGCGAGGAGGTCTCGGGCGGGAACCCCATACCGCCCGCACATCATGTCACCAGTCCGACCTGGCCATCGGATTCCCGTAATTCTCGTTCCTTTTTTTGGCTCCTCGGTCCCGAATCTGGTGGACGTCTCGAGCGGAGGATCCTCGTCCGTGAGCGCAGCGCGAGCGAGGCTCAGGCGGGAGCCCCCTCCCCGTGGGGTTAAGTCGGGCCTGTCCCCCTACAGGGGGATTTTCGACGGAAAATAAACAATACCCCGAACATCGTCAAAAAATAATCCAAACATAGTTCGGGGACTATTTTGTTGAGTATGTTTGACCTTCTTTGGGTATTCTTTGGGTATTTTTTGTTTTTCGTCGAAAATCCCTCTGTAGGGGGACACGCCCGACATAATGTTAGTCCGAGTGGGTCATCCGATTCTTGTAAACGTCACCTTTGGGATCCTCAGGCTCGGATCCGGAAGCAGTCTCGAGCGAGAGCCTCGTCTGTGAAGGACTTGCGGGAGGTCTCAGGCGGGGCCCCCCTCCCTATGGCATGGGGCCCGCGGATCATGTTGCCAATCCCGCCGGGTCATCCGATTTTGTGATTGTCGCCATTTTTGGGCACCTCGGTCGTGAATGCGGCGACAGTCTTGAGCGCGAGCCTCGTATGTGCGTGACGTGCGAGGAAGTCTCAGACAGCAGCCCCTACCGTATGGGGCCCGCAGATCATGTTATTAATCCGAGTGGGCCATTGGATTCGTGTCAACTGTCGTCACGGTTGGCCTCTTGGAGCTTGAGTATTGAGAAAGTGTCTGGTGGGAGCGTCGTCTGTGATTGAATGGCGAGGAAGTCTCAGACGGGAGCCCCTTCCCCATGGTGTCCGCTGCTCATGCTACCCCCTTGAAGTTTGAATCTGGCGGAAGTCTCGAGCGGGAGCCTCGTCTGTGAGTGAATGACGAGGAGGTGCATGCGGAACGTGCTGATCCTGCAGCCGCCCACGCGAAAGTTTCTGGAACGCGGGTCGGTGGCTTCCATGCTGAAGGCGCTCAGGGAGTTCGACAAGAGAGCGGGAGCTCCAGGGCTGAGGCGGAGCAGCTCGCGGCAGAGCTGGGCTTCGCGCTGCCTCCCGCCTGGGCACGTCCGCGACTAGCTGGAGACCTGCGAGTTTGTCCCAACGGTTTGCTTCCGCGCCCCAGCGGCTCGTGGGGTTGCCCCACTGGCCTGGCCAACGGGGTTGCCCCAGCGGCGTCGCGTTCTGGCCATCGGGAAACGCGCCCGTGCTGGCCGTGGCGGCAACGGCGCCAAGGAACCTCGACTTGCGCGCCTTTGTTACAAGGGGGCGGGGGAGGTGGATGGGGGGAGAAGAGGCAGGAGGACGAGGAGGACGCAGAGCGCAGAGCTGGAAGAGGGAGTCCTCCAAGACGAAAAGGGACACATCGCGATGAGGGGATGGGACAGAGCCGTTGCGCTCGAAGACGACGGCGCTGAGCTTCATTTCCGTATTAGTTCGGGCGATGTTCGCGCGGGGTCCTACCGCCGGGGTAATTGATTTGTTTGGCCGCGTTCGCTGTGTTTACGATTCGCAGTTGTCCTCGGTGCGGCGAGGACTGCGCGCGTGCGCCGATTTCGGCCAGGTTCCGTCCTGGGCCCAGATGTGCGCATGTGCTTCCATGGCCGGAATGAGGTGTGTGGACGAGTTCGATCCAGGGCTGCGACAGACCTCCGCCGTGGTGGTGTATGTGCGTAATTCGTGCTGGTCATTGGGTGTGTGTTTCCGATCCTTCCTCGTTTATGGGGGTTGCACATGCCAGCCGTGTAATTTGCCGTGTTCAATTTGGAATGAGCGATGTCGTTCCCTGTTTCCCTTTGTCCACCGCTGATCCCCCTCGTTACTCTCCGTCTTCCTGTTAGTGTCCCCGTTACTCGCTCCCCATCATCATTTTTCCTTCTCGTCTCCTCCCTTCCTCCACGTCTTCCTCATCCTTCCGCTCGTTTCATTATACAAGTCGCCTTCCTCCCGTATCCCCCGTTCCACCTCATCGCCCTCCTCCTGTCTTTCATCCCCCTTTCTTTCCTCCCTCCCCCTCTCCCTCTGGCTCCTGCTTTTCGTCATCCTGCCAGTGTTCCTTGCCTTTCCCTCTCCCCCGCTCTCCCCCCCCTTCGTCCTGTCCACCCCTCTCCAATTCCTTGTTTTCTGCTCCTCATTCCCATCGTACGCCCTCAGGAATTGGCCTCCGTACCTGTCCCGGGGGGCGGGGTCCGGCCGCGCGCGGCGACGATGTGCCCCCATGACTTTTCAAAACGACAAATCGGCGCCCCCGAGCCTCAAAGCTTGAGCTTCCCCCCCCTCCTCCCAATGCCACTCCTCCTCCTCTTATTCCCCTTGTCAGAGCTTCACGGATGGAGTGCGATTCCTTTTCAAATTGTGGCTCTCGCCTTAGCGCCGCGGGCACTCGTTTGAAAAGTGTGCAAGAGGTTTCACGGATGGAGGGCGGTTCTTTTCCAAACTGGCTCTCGCCTCATTGCCGCAGACATTCGTTTCAAGCGTTTTTCGCAGTTTCAAGGGTTCTTATGGTTGATTCCAGATGGTGTTCCGTCACGGTGTCGGACTTTCAGGGTGCAACAGTCATGTGGATTCGCGGTGTGGAAGTCCTAGGAACAGTTTTCGGGCACCATTCAGGATCGTCAGGACGCGTCAGTAACGTTGATTCGCGGCGTTGCAGTCCCAGGAATGGTGTTTTGGCATGACTCAGGATTTCCACACGATTGTCTCAACGGGGCACTTTCCTAAGTGGATATAAGTCCTTGTGGGGTCCTATGATGAGGGAACTTGGTGGGAGGGTTCATTGCAATATCGTTGGTGAGTCTTGGGTTTGCACTGGTCCTCGTCCTCGCCCCCTCGTCCAAGTCCACACGCCGATGGGCATCAACGTTCATACGCCGAACATTCGTTGACCAGGTGCCCAGGGGAAGGCAGTCAGGAAACCCACATGATATGTGGCGTCGTCCTTCCTATAATCAGCATCATCACCACCATCGTCGTCATCGTCATCTCACCACCAACATCATCATCGTCGTCATCAGCATTGTTATTACTGAAAACGATTATCAACAGCATCTTCATAATCATCAGCATCATCATCAGCACCATCATCACAGTCGTCAGCATAGCCAGCATTATCATGACCAACACCATCACCATCACATTATCACCACTATCAGCATCGTCATCGTCGTCATTATCGTCTTCATCATCATGAACTGGTCATCTTCATCACCACCATCAGCACCATCGTCCACATCACCATTAACACCGTCAACGATCATCGCCATCATGAGCAGCGGCATCAGCAGCAGCACCAGCATCACAAGCACCACCACCGCCACCACCACCATCATCTGATCATCGTCACCATCACCACCACCATCAGCAGCAGTACCACCATCATCATCACCAATCATCATCGTCATCATCGTCACCACCACCACCATCACCGTCACCATCACCATCACCATCATCGTCATCATCATCAGTATCGTCATCATCATTATTTTCTACCATTATCACCAGCGTCACCATCATTATCATCATCATCACCAGCAGCATCATCATCATCATTAGCATCGTTATTATCATCGTCTCCACCATCACCACCGCCAACACCATCATCCTCATCAGCATCACCATCGCCATCGCCATCGCCATCGCCATCGCCATCACCATCACCATCACCATCATCATCATCATCATCATCATCATCATCATCGTCATCATCATCATCATCATCATCATCATCATCATCATCGTCATCATCATCATCATCATCATCATCATCATCATCATTCACCCTCCTCCTCCCTCCTCCTCCTCCTCCTCCTCCTCCTTCCCTCCTCCTCCTCCCCCTCCCTCCTCCCCCATCCCCATCCTCCTACCCCCCCTCCCTCCTCCCCCATCCCCCTCCTCCTACCCCCCCCCTCCTCCTCCTCCCTCCTCCCCTCCTCCTCCTCCTCTCCTCTCCTTCTCCTCCTCTCCTCTCCTCCTCCTCCCCCTCCTCCTCCTCCTCCTCCTCCTCCTCCTCCTCCTCCTCCTCCTCCTCCTCCTCCTCCTCTTCCTCCCCCTCCCCCTCCTCCTTCCCCTCCCACCCCCCCGCGCGGGCCTGGGCGGCGCGAGGCGGCCCTGGACACGGGCACGTCGCTGCTGGCGGGCCCGGCGCGCCTGGTGCGGCTGCTGGTCGACAGGCTGAGGCTGCGTCCAGTGGGCGAGGGAGAGGGGGAGGACGAGTATTGGCAGAGGACGAGGGAGAGGGGTGGGGATGAAGAGTGGGGTGGGGATGAAGAGCATTGGGGTGGGGATGGAGAGTATGAAGAGGACAGAGGGAGAAGAGGACAGAGGGAGTACAGGCGCCCAGGGGAGGGGTGGGGATGAAGAGTGCTGGAGGAGGGCGAGGGAGAGGGGGAGGAAGGGCAGGAGGATGAGCGGCAGGAGGAGTTTTTATTCTTTCTTCTCGGATGGCAGGGGGGGGGGCGCGAGACGAATCAGTAGGATGACAAGGGGAGGGGAGAGACGAGGACGAGAAGGAAGAGGAAGGGGGACGAGGAGGAGGAGGAGGAGGAGGAGGAGGAGGAGGAGGATGAGGAGAAACGGGAAAGAACGAGGAGGAGCGGGAGGGGGCGATGGGGGAGGAGAAACTGATATCGATGACTGTGTCAGACTGGGAAATGACGCTCACTTGCCACTTGCAACGGCCAGGAATGTAATAATAACTCTAATGATAAGCATATTCATTTGACAAACGACATAGGCACATACATACATATATTCGGAGGTCCGTGCGGATCTCCCGGATCGAAAGAATGTGTTGACCGGATTCGGAGGTCCGAGCGGATCCAGGAGGGTTCGTCGCCGACCCAAGAAATCCGCGCGGAATAGTTTACGTTCATGCAGTTGTTTCTTACTCTGAATGTCGTCGTCTTCTTCGTCGTATAGTCTGGCCGACGTATCAGATCGAGGTCGGCTCGGGGAGGGTACCCTCGTGGTCTTCGTGCTTGTTGGATGTTCTGTGTGTTTAGGCCGGCGGAGGGTCTCCCGTTCTTGAGGGATGTTCTTCTGGCCCAGGTCCGACTGTGGTCCTGACTTCGATGTTGTGTATATATATATATATATACACATGTATTGTATACAGGTGCGTAGCACCCCGCAGTCGCGGATATGAGCGAGGGAGCGGCGAGGACGTCGGCAGGCTGCGGGGCTCTGAAGAAGCCCGCCGCAGGTGCCTATTCTTTACAGTGCCGTTTTTAATACATGCTCATCGTGCGGATCATGTATTCAAATGCAGGTTTGTAGCATTAAAAACAACGATGAGTTCATGCATACATTTATTCATAAATCAATCATGTATTAAACATCCCATATTATTAAAAATCCTATGTATTAAAACCTGCCCTGTACAAATTATGCAGTGAGCCCGCGGGTGGGTCGCCAGCCGTGTCGCGGGTGGGTCTCGGGTGGGTCGCGGGTGGGTCGAGGGTGGGTCGCGGGTGGGTCGCGGGTGGGTCGCGGGTGGGTCGCGGGTGGGTCGCGTGTGGGTCGCAGGCCAGGTCGCGGGGGGGACAACAACAACATCAACAACAGCCACAACAACACCACCAACAACAACAACAACAACAATCCGCACCGCAGAAACTCACTTCAGCCACGCGCCTAGTGACAGTGAATGAACGTTCGGACCCTTCACTCTGATATGCGTATGCATATATCCACCGCCGGTGGAACTGGTCTTTTTGGACCTCGGGAGGCGGTAGATGTGGTGGATGTGTTCGGGCCCCATGCGGCGTGGGAGATCCGTTCTCCAGGCGATGGATAGCTCGCCCTTCTCCTCCTCCACCTTCGCCCCCTCCTCCCTCCCCCCCCTCCTCCTCTTTCTCCTCCTCCGCCTCCTCCTCCTCTTTCTCCCTATTCCCCCTTCGCGCGGGAGCGCTCGCGGGTGAGGAGAACGAGAACGAGGAGGAGGAGGAGGAGGAGGAGGAGGAGGAGGAGGAGGAGGAGGAGGAGGAGGAGGAGGAGGAGGACGAGGAGGAGGAGGAGGAGGAGGAGGAGGGGGAGAGGGGGATCGAGACAGGACCGAACTTCGAGTGCCGAGGTATCTCTGCGTGTTTGGCCCTCTTGGGACGCCTCGCGGGGAGCCCAGCGGTGGCGTCGTCAGCTGTCTTGGCAGGTGTCTTCCAGCCTCGAGCCGTCCTCGCGGATGCTCTTGGAGCGATTTTGGAACCCTCCAGGCGCCACCTTTAGGCGTTTTGGAGCACTACGCGATTGGCTTACAGGCGGCCGACAGACGGTTGGCAATCACATGATTTATGATTTTACTGCAGTGCTCCTCCGTAGATGCTGAAGAGCACTCGTAGTCGATCTTGTCTGGGGTGCTATGCCCCGAAGCCGGCTCTAGCCTGCTTCTGGGTCGCAGTCCGGCCGTGGATTGCTGTCGCTTCGCAGGATGCACGTCTGGAACGTGTATACAGTTTGGGCATTGCAGGGCTATTGGTAGCCTCTTGGAGACCTCGGGGGTGCGTGACTATAAAGGGTCTGCCAATGCCCGTCTGCCGTGCTCGTCTGCTGGAAGCCCTCGTGTGGGTCCTCTTGAGGGTCCTCTTGAGGGTCCTCTTGAGGGTCCTCTTGTGGGACCTCTTTGATTGTCTTGAAGTCACCGGCTTAGATCCCTCTTGGACGTTTTTGCTGACGCTCTTGCGGCCCTCGTACGGCCCCGTTGGGCCGTCTTGGGGCCTTGTTGGGCCGTCCTGGAGTCGTCTTGGGGACCTCTTCGGCCATCTTGGGGCCCTCTTGAGGGCATGCTTGGCCGTCTTGGGGCCATCTGGGAGCCCTCTTTGGCAGTCTTGGGCTGCTGGACGCCCGAGAAGGCGAGAACGCGACAATCAATGACAACTGCAGATTTTCGCTTCCTGGGGCCCTCTTGGGGGCCGTCTCTCTTGACACGTCCTCGGGGCCACTTTGACTGTCTTGGAGCCGTTTTCGGCCGACTTAGATCACTCTTGGACATCTTGGGGGTCTTTGAGGACGCTCTTGGGGCCCTCTTGCCACCCTGGGTCAGTCCCCCCCTCGTATCTTCAATTTAGGATTAACGGGGGGGGGGGGGGGGGGGGGCGAATTTCACACGGATGGAGAACCCGAAGGGGTCGGCGAATTTGTTTGCTCATGTGACGGTGGGGTGTAGAGAGAGAGAGGGAGAGAGAGAGAGAGAGATATGGTTCTTTTGTTCCCAATCTGCGACTGTTTTAACGGAGATAGCGTGGTTTTGTTTTTCCCAACCATCTTGTGGTGTTGGTCCTCGTTTTGAAGAGACAGCACCCCGCGTCCCTTCTCCTTCCTCCTCCTCGCCCCTGCTCCCTCTCTGCCTCTGTCCTCCGCATGTCCACCATTTCGGCTTTGCAGCTGAAGGAAGGGGCGAATTTCACGAAATTGTTGACGCTTCGCGTATCCCCACCAGCCCATCCAGAAACGATGCTCAGGGGAGTTGAGATGATCAGGGAAGTCGGGGAGCATGCAGAAGAACAAAGGGCGGGGGAAGCTGTCACAGACCCCGAGAGGGGGAGGATGGAAGAGGAGTCGTCGTCGTCGTCGTCGTCGTCGTCGGAGGAGGAGGAGGAGGAGGGGGAAGAGGAGGAGGAGGAGGAGGAGGAGGACGGAGAAGGAGGAAGAATCGGAGGAGGAGGAGGAGGAGGGGAAGGAGCTTCTTGGGGGTCTTTTGAGGGCCTCTTGGAGGGCTTTTTGGGCGCCTTGGGGCATCTTGGGCGCCTCTTGGGACCCTCTTGAGGCGCTCTGGGGAGCCTTCGGGGCGCTTTTGGGGCCATCTTGGAGGGAGTCGATCAAACAAGAGGGGGGGTTTAATTAGCGCCCCCCCTCGGAAGCCCCTAAAATCGCCTCTTGGACCCCTCTTGGAACGCTCTTGGAGTGCTCTTGGGCGCTCTTGGGGCCGTCTTGGGGCTCTTTTGGGGCTCTCTTGGGGCCCTCTTGGGCCATCTTGGAGCCATCTCCAGGCCTCGGATGGCCATCGGAAGCGAAAAGGCGAGAAAGCAAAAATCATTGATTTTCCTTAGGTTTTGGGACGATTTTGGCCTCTTCGGGGCCTCCTTGGGGAGCTGTTTGGCCACTTGGAGTTATCTTGGGGCCGTCTTTGGGCTTCTTGGAACCATCTTAGGAGCCATCGTGAGCGATCTTGCGCTATCTTGAGCCATCTTGGAGCTCATCTTGGGTTCTCTGAGGCGCTCTTGGAGCCGTCTTGGGCCATCTTGGACGCTCTAACTACCCGCGGCCCCCCCCGTCCAGGTCCAGGGGAGGGGGTAGGGGGAGGGGTAAACCCCTCCCCAAGGGGGAAGAGGGAGGGGTGGAAGAGGATCTGCTCTAGACCACCTACGCCCAGAGGGCTGGTGGGATTCACCGGTGGTGGCTCCGTGGTCCCGGTGGTCCCAGTGGTACTGGTGGTGCCAGTGGTCCCAGTGGTATCGGTGGTTCCGGTGGTGCCAGTGGTACCGGTGGTCTCGGTGGTCTCGGTGGTTGCCAGTGGTACCGGTGGCCCCGGTGGTCCCGGTGGTCTTCGCGGTGGTCGTGTCGGTGGACCTGGTGGTACCGGGGGTACCGGTGGCCCCGGTGGCCTCCGTGGTCCTCGTGGTCGTCCCGGCGGTTCTGGTGGTCTCGGTGGTGCTGGTGGTCCCGGTGATCCCGGTGGTTTTCTCGGTGGTCGTCCCAGTGGTTCCGGTCTGGGGGTCTCCGTGTTTCCGGTGGTTGTCCCGGTGATGGTCCCAGTGGATCCGCGGTGGTCCCGGTGGCCCCAGTGGTGCTGGTGGTGCCGGTGGTACCCGTGGTCCCGGTGACGGCCCCTGTGGTCGCCCTTGTGGTGCTGGTGGTCCCGGTGGTCTCCTCGGTGAGGTCAGGTTGGGCTCTGAGGCCCTCTTGAAGCCGTCTTGGGCCATTTGGGATGGTCCAAGTCGCCTTTCGGTGCCATCTTGGAAAGCTGTTGGGCGCTCTTGGGAGGGTCTTGGTGCCTTCTTGGGCCTCTTTTGGATTTTTGTTTAGCAATATTGGAGCCGTCCTGGGGCTTCCGAGGCCATTCGGATCGAAAAGGCGAAAGGCACAATTGAGTTTGCGAAGGGTGCTGGGCTTTGGGGAGCGGTCGTGAGCGGCTCCGGGGCCATTTAGGTCCGCCTTGGCGCTTTTCCTGGACCTCTTAGAAGCATGTTGGGTGCCATCGTCAGCCAATTTGGACCGTCTTGGGGCCATCTTGGGGGAGTGCGATTCAGTAGGGTGGGGTACTCGATTAGGCCAGGCCCCCCCTCTGCAGCCCCTGAAATCGCCTCTTGGAGTGCTAATGGAGCGTTCTTGGACGCTTTTGGGGCAGTCTTGTGACCCTCTTGGGTTGCTCGCGGGGCTCGCTTGGGCCTTCGTGGAGCCAACCTTTCGCTTCGGAGGTCCGTCGAAGGCGAAAAGGCAAGACGGCAACACACATTGGTTCTCGTGGGTTTGGGCCTCTGGGTGGTTTCCTTGTGAAGCTCTGTGGCCACTCGGAGCCGTGTTTTTTTAGGGGGGGCTCGTGGAGCATGGAGCTATCGTAAGTCCTCTTTGAGGTCATCGTGGAGTCTGAGAGGCTCTCTTTCAGCCATTTTGGGTCGTCGTGGACGCTCGACCGTCCCACGGCCCCTCCCCTCCAGGCCCATGGGGGAGGCGGCCCGGGGACGGGTAAGCCTCGCAACGACGGGAAAGAGGGAAGCTGGACGATGCACGCAGCCAAGCCACCTCCGCCCAGAGGGCTGGTGGGATTCCCCAGACAGTGCTCGCACTCATGGGTTCGTCCTTGTGCTCCCATGAACTGGGCCTGGTGGTCTGTCTGACCGCCCCGTCGGCGCCCGTCGCCTGGGCCTAGTTGCCTGTCTGACCGCCCCGTCGCCGCCCCGTCGCCGCCTCGTCGCCGCCCGTCGCTTGGGCCTGGTTGTCGGTCTGGCCGCCCCGTCGCCGCGTCGTCGCCGCCCGGTCCCCGCCCGTCGCCGCCGCCCCATTGTGCCGCCCCTCCGTTGAATGGCAGTCGCACTGCAGTGCAGTCGCATTGCAAGCGCACTGCAAGCACTTTGCATGGCACTGCTGCGCAGTGCACCACACTGACTGCACCACCTGTAGTGCACCACAACTCTTGCACCACATCTATTGCACGCACCATTAATTTTGTACCACGCAGATCGCCTATACTCTACTGCTGAACCTATATTGCACGACGTAGCTGCATTGCACCACGTATGTTGCACCACGTACACTGCACCACATCTAGGCTGTACCACATGACTTACACCACGTGTACTGCACCACGTAGACTTCACCACACATGTTGCACCACACAGCTCACACCACACACATACAGTCTCCTTTCTAAAAAGATAATAGACTCTACCCCCCGCGGCGTTATCGCCCCCCTTTCGGCTATATAAATCACATATGATTCTGACCACATGTCCATCCTAAATATGAAATCGCAATGCCCCAGGCCAACCGGTATCGGCCCCCCTGAGGTTCCCTTGTAAAAAAACACTATGCGGTGACATTTTTTGTTCTGATATAACACTTTTTCACGAATCCCTTGGAAACAATGGGACGAAGTGCACACGCGCGCGTCGTCGCGCGCGCATGCCGAAATCCTTCAAAAACCTTCGATGCCGGAAGGATTTCGGAATCAAGTTTCCCAAAAACATACAAAAACACAGGGTTTCGCAACACTAATTTGCTAAAAAACTTACGCGCGAGCTCTTGCGAAATCTTAAGAAAACCATTGATTTTTCAATATGTTTCACAACATGCTACCAAACGGGCGTCGCGCGCGCATGTCGAAATCTGTCGAACGCTCTTGCGCGTGTGCCGTCGCGAGAATCCTCTGCAAAAAATGGGACGAAGTGCAGACGCGCGCGTCGTCGCGCGCGTACGCCGAAATCTTTCAAAACCCACCAGTTTCGGAAGGACTTCAAAATCGCGCGTCCAAAACTCCTACAAAAACACAAGATTTCGCAACACGGATTTTCAACAAAAGCGTGCGCGCGCGCTCTTGCGGCGTCGTCGTCGTCGTCGTCGTCGTCGTCGTCGTCGCCGTCCTCCCTCCTCCCGCGTCGTCGTCGTCGTCGCCTACGTCGTCCTGTGTCTTTCCTCGTGTTCGTCGTCGTCGTCCTCTTTGGCGTCTTGGTCGTTTCCGTCGTCGTTGTCGCCGTGGCCGTGGCCGTCCTTTCTCCTCCTCCCTCGTCGTCGTCGTCGTCGTCCGTCGTCGGCGTCTCGTCGTCATCCCTCCTATTTCGTCGCCGTCGTCGTCGTCGTCGTTGTCGTCGTCGTCTCGTCGTCGTCTTCCCTCCTGCCTCGTCGTTGTCGTCGTCAGCGTCGCCGTCCTTCCTCCTTCTTCGTCGTTCGCGTCGTCGCCGTCATCCCTCCTCCCTCGTTGTCGTCGTTGTCGTCGTTGTCGTCGTTGTCGCCGTCGTCGTCCTCCCTCCTCCCTCGTCGTCGTCTTCGTTGGCGACGTCGTCGTCGTCTTCGTCGTCGTCGTCGGCGTCGGCTTCGTCGTCTTCGTCGTCGTCGACGTCGGCGTCGTCGTCGTCGCCGCCGTCGTCGTCGGCGTCGTCGTCGTCGTCGGCCTTCTTGCTTCTCCGGCCTTCTTGGGGTGTTCTTGCGACGCCCCCGAGGGCTCCAAGACGACCCCGGAGCGATATCTGTGCTCGGTCCCGCATTGGTTTTGCAAAACAAGTTGCGGGTGGGTGGGTGGGATGATTGCGCGAGCAGTGGAGTTGATAACTTCAAGTTCGGCAAGTGATTAATTGCACCCCATAAGTCGCACTACATAGTGTACCACATAGCTCTCACCACATACATTGCACCACATGGATTTCGCCACCGGGGTTGCACCGCATAGCTTGCACCACATAGCTTGCACCACATCTATTCTCTTTTCTAAAAAGAGAACAGACTCTACCCCCCCCCGGCGTTATCGCCCCCCCTTTCGGGTATGTAAATCAAATGTGATTCTGACCACATGTCCATCTTAAATATGGATCTACACTATCCCAGGGGAACCGGTATCGGCCCCCCCCGCCATCCTCTGCAAAAAATACTATGCGCGCACACTTGTTTATCAAAAATCAGAAGTTGTCACGAATCCCTTGCAAAAAAAGGGACGAAGTGCACACGCGCGCGTCGTCGCGCGCGCCTGCCGAAATCCTTCAAAAACCTTCGGTCTCGGAAGGAATTCGCAATCGTGTTTCCAACAAACATACAAAAACACAGGGTTTCGCAACACTAATTTGCTAAAAAAGCTTACGCGCGAGCTCTTGCGAAATCTTAAAACAACCATAGGTTTTTCAAGATTTTCACAAAAAGCTACCAAACGGGCTTCGCACGCGCGCATGTCGAAAACTGTCGAACGCCCTTGCGCGTGTGCCGTCGCGAGAATCCTTTGCAAAAAATGGGACGAAGTGCAGACGCACGCGTCGTCGCGCGCGTATGCCGAAATCCTTCAGAACCCACCAGTTTCGGAAGGACTTCAAAATCGTGTGTCAAAAAAACCTACAAAAACACAAGGTTTCGCAACACGGATTTTCAACAAAAGCGTGCGCGCGCGCTCTTGCGTCGTCGTCGTCGTCGTCGTCGTCGCCGTCCTCCCTCCTCCCGCGTCGTCGTCGTCGTCGTCGTCCCCTACGTCGTCCTCTGTCTTTCCTCGTGTTCGTCGTCGTCGTCCTCTTTGGCGTCGTGGTTGTTTCCGTCGTCGTTGTCGCCGTGGTCGTCCTTCCTCCTCCTCCTCCCTCGTCGTCGTCGTCGTCCGTTGTCGGCGTCTCGTAGTCGTCCCTCCTATTTCGTCGCCGTCGTCGTCGTCGTCGTCGTCGTCGTCGTTGTCGTCATTGTCGTCTTCCCTCCTCCCTCGTCGCTGTCGTCGTTAGCGTCGCCGTCCCGCCGTCCTTCCTCCTTCTTCGTCGTTCGCGTCGTCGCCGTCCTCCTTCCTCCCTCGTCAATGTCGTTGTCGTCGTTGTCGTCGTTGTCGCCGTCGTCGTCCTCCCTCCTCCCTCGTCGTCGTCTTCGTTGGCGACGTCGTCGTCGTCTTCGTCGTCGTCGTCGTCGGCGTCGGCGTCGTCGTCGTCTTCGTCGTCGTTGACGTCGGCGTCGTCGTCGTCGTCGCCGCCGTCGTCGTCGTCGTCGTCGTCGTTGACGTCGTCGTCGTCGTCGGTGTCGTCGTTGTCGTCGTCGTCGGCGTCGTCATCGCCGTCGTCGTTGTCACCGTCGTCGTCGTTGTCGGCGTCGTCGCAGTTGTTGGAGATGTCGTCGGTGTCGTCGTAGTCGTTGTCGTTGGCGTCATCGTCGTCGTTGTCGCTGTCGTCGTCGGCGTCGCTGTCGTTGCCAAGTGCCATTTGGTACCCACCGTCAAGGTCTTAAGAGATTTTGCAAACCAAGTTGCGGGTGGATGGGTGGGATGTTTGCGCGAGCAGTGGAGGTGGTCAGGCGCGGTGCAGGGTAGTCAATTGCACCACGTAGATGGCACCACATACATTGCACCACATAGTATGCTAGATCACATTATTTGGGGTGCACGCTGTCTAACACATCTGTGCGTGCACGCATACATGTCGTTTCTTCGATCGCTTTTTCCTCTTTCCCTTGCTCCTCCCTTCTGCTCCCCGCTCGTCCTTGCCCGCCTCTGTTTGAGGAGGAGGAGGACGAGGAGGAGGAGGAGGAGTAAGAGGAGGAAGAAGAGGGGAAACAGGATGTGGCGAGGGCCCCCGCCTGAGGACGTAGTGGTCTGCATCTTGGAGGCTCGCGGGAGGAGTTGAAGACGAGGGCGAGGACTGTACGGGCAGGGGCGAAGAGAAGGTTGCTCCGATTCTTGTTCAGCGCGCCCTGCCTTCCTCCTCCTCCTCCTCCTCCTCCTCCTCCTCCTCCTCCTCCTCCTCCTCCTCCCCCTCCTCCTCCTCTACTCCTCCTCCTCCTCCTCCTCCTCCTCCTCCTCCTCCCTTTCCTCCTCCTCCTCCGCCTCCTCCTCCCCCTCCTCCTCCTCCTCCTCCTCCTCCGATTCTTGTTCAGCTTCTCCCATCAGGGTTGCCGCTGATTGCAGCAACTTCGACAGTCTCCCCGACCTCGGCTTCATCATCGGCGGCCAGGCCCAGCTGATGGCAGGAGGGCTGGAGGAGCAGCAGCAGGGGTACTCCATCCCCTTCTCTTCCTCCCTCCTCCTCCTTCCTCCACCACCTCCTCCTCCTCCTCCTCCTGATCGTCTCCTCCTCCTTGCTGGGTCGAGCCGCTTTGAGCCCGTCTGGGCTGGCTGTGGGGCCCTCTTGGGAGCTTCCTTCTGGCCCTCAGTGAAACCTTCCCGATGCCTTCTTCGGAGTGGAAAGCAGCGGAAGCAAGCATCCGTCTCACTGTCTTGAGGTTCCTGCCTGTCGTGAGGCCCCGCCTTCTTTTGCCCTCCCTTCCTAATTTATGCTGTGCGCGGCCCGCTTAGCATCCATCGGAAGAGGTTCGCTCTCGCCCCGCAGATCAAAAAACAATCTTAAGGTTCCCGGGGCCTCGCTGGAGGCCTCCCTGGGCGCCTCCCGGCAGGCTCCGTGGGACCTCTCCGGGGCACCTCGCTGCGCCCCCTCGACCGGCAACCGACGCCCAGCCAGACGGCCAGCAGGCGCGCCAGCACGCGGCGGACCCCTCGCCTCTCGCACCGGGACGGGTTTCGAGCCGTCTCCCCGGACGTCCGACGCCTCCATTTTCGGAGTCTGGAACATACAGTGCCGTTTTTGATACATGCTCCGCGTGCGGATCATGTATTAAACATGCAGGGATGCAGTATTAAAAACAAACGATGAGTTCATGCATAAATCAATTCCTAAGTTAATCATGTATTCAAAAATCCCATATGTTTAAAAATCCGATGTATTAAGAACTGCCCTGTATACATTACCAGTGGCGGGCTGTTTTTCAATCCCAGGACTTCTCGAGGGCCGAGGACGACACTGGTGTGGTGTGGTGTATACTTTCTTCCCCGAGGTCCCGAGCAAAGAACGAAACATGTATACACCAGGGTCCCGTATACACCAGGATCCGCTCTCCGGCGCAAATTCCAGCGCAGGGCCGAAAGAAGCGTCGGTATATAGAGCTCGATTCCCTAGATTTAAGTCGGGCGTGTCCCCTAAAGGGGAAAAATAGAAAATACCCCAAAAATAATCAAAAAATAGTCCCAAAATAGTTTGGGGACTATTTTTGGAGTTTTTTTTTAGACCTTTTGGGGGCATTTTTGGGGTGTTTTTAATTTTTCGTCGAAAATCCTCCTGTAGGGGGACACGCCCGACATAACCCTAGATTTGTTTCAGTATTTAAGGGGTCCGCAGCAAACCTGGACCTTTCCCCAGGGCCAGCTGTCCCTCCCGGGTCGTTCTGTGGACGGTTCTAGGGCCCGGCGAGGGCCCTCGAGGCCGCAGGCGACTAAACGTCTCGGCCTTTCTGTTCAGCGTTGGCCTGGAGCTAGCCTTCTCCTCTTCTTCCTCCTCCTCCTGATTCTGCTTTTCCTCTTCCTTTCCCCCCTGCTTTCTCCCATCCTTCTCCTCATTCTCCGCCTCCCCCTCCTCCTCGAGCCTTGGCCTACTGCATCGCTCTCCAGGTCTTGTCCCTCAAGCCGGGCGAGTACGTAGACAGGTCCGAGGAGGGCTGCGTGCTGGGCCTCATGGTGCACCTGAGGGGAGGGAGGGGGAAGTGGTGGGCGGGAGTCCTGAGGGAATTGGGTCCTGAGGCTTTTCGCCTTTTTTGCCTTCCCTGGGCCGTCTACGGGCCCCAGGGGGCTGTCAAAACGGCTCAAGATGAAAAGTTGATCCCAGGGGGAATCCCTGGTATCCAGGACCCGCTTCCCTCATGTCAAAACACGGAAGGTGGCGGAGGGAGGGGAAACATGCTAATGATGATGTTGATGTTGATGATTCTGATGATGCTGATGATGATGCTGATGATGGTGATGCCGAGGATATTGACGATGATGAGGAGGAGGATGGTTGTGGTGGTGGCGTTGATGATGAGAATGATGATTATGATGGTGCTGATGATGGTGATGGCGGTTATTATGATGATGATGATGAGGAGGAGGAGGAGGATCATGATGATGCTGATGATACTTATGATGGTGATTTTGATGAGGAGGAGAAGGACCATGATGATGCTGATTCTGAACAATATCATGATGTAGGTGATGATGCCGCTGCTGACGATGATGGTGATGATGACGATGATGCTGCTGCTGATGCTGATTCTGATGCTGATGCTGATGCTGATGATTAGGATGCTGATGCTGATGATGATGCTGCTGATGCTGATGATGAAGATTATGATGGAAATGATGCTGCCGATGATGAGGATGATGCTGATGATGCTGTTGAGGATGATGTTGATGGTGTTGAATATGATGAAGATGATGATGATGATGATGATGATGATGATGATCATGATGCTGATGCTGATGATGATGAGGATGATGATGCTGCCGATGATGCTGCCGCTGCTGATGATGAAGATGCTGATGCTGCTGATGATGACGATGATGAGGGCGATGATGATGAGGATGGTGATGATGATGATTATGGTGATGCTGATTCTGATGATGATGCTGCTAATGATACTAA